GTCCCTCTCGGTTGCGGAGTACCACTCGTTGGCCTAAATTAATGGCCACTCTGTAACTAATAATGTTTGAATGGCTCAGCGATTTCAGTACAGCCCTCTCCGTTACCAGTGATAGATACTTATATGTGTCGCTTTTAACCATGAGTTGACTGTATTTGGCCGCAAACAGGTCACCGGGTTGTATATGGCTATCTCGCAGGTACCGGCCCTGTCTAGTTTGGGCAAACATCTTGATCTAAATGATCATGATAATAAATGTAAATAAGAAACACATACGTAACATATCTAAATAGTATATCACTATAACTTATAGTCACATTTCATACCTGATTGGTATACGAGCCCCGATATACCCGGCCCAGAGTGCCCGACCCAATCTCGGACTCCGGGTCAATGTTTACGTTAAATCCCCACTCATGTAGTTTACCCAAAACTATTTTGGTCTTTCTGAGCAAAATATCCGGTTCACTCATTACCATAGGGACAGTCGCCTCCCCCTCCTCGGCGCTGCTCACGTATGCCTCACCCGACAACACGCGTGGGTCGGTCTGCAGGGCTGGTGTCTTGTAAAATGCCGGCGCCTTTACGTACAGCTGCTCGAGTCGTTCGCCGGTTGGTTCGTCGTATTCAATGGGTTCGGTGCGGTCGGCACTTACCGGTGCTGTTATATCCGGCGCCGTTACATTTGTACTTGATATTGGTAGTAATCCCAAACCTGTACCTGATAGTGGTGATGGTAGATCTGGGTCACCTAGAAGCTCACGCCCGGCACCGGGACTCGTAGACATTCCTATGGATGTGTTTGGATGTGTAGGTATTGGCGCCGATTGACCACTAGTGTACTGTCGGTTCGCACTATGTCTTTGCGATTATATGTATTTATTGTTTTTTAAAAGTTGAATAAAATTTTGACAAAACAAATATTGTTATATAATTTTTTTTGTTAATAATGGTCAAACTATTTTTGCTTGCATTTTTATGTAGTTATTTCATTATTATACAAATTGATTTTTGCCTAATTAACTTTCAATACTTGTTAAATAATACTATTTTCTAAACGTTTTATTTGCATTTTGTTTGACTAATATTCTGATTACTAGATTACAACCCGTGGAGTCTTTAAGTCAGTGCACACAACCAAACCATATATTTACGCAAAACTATATCTCTTGAGCACATCCAGCAACGGCTCCCGCGTGCGCGACAACTCATTGGACAGTTGGCTAACCTGAGTCAGATCGATGCCCTCGTTCAACACATTTCCACTGCATTTACCAATCATAAAGTTTAACATACCCTTCAGCTCCGATAGATCGTTCTCGATCATCTCCTGGATATCGCCGGCCGACACCTCTACACCCAATTCACCGTAAATCGCGCTAGATATACTCATACCGAAGTCGGTCAGTTTGATGGTATACTCACCTCCCTGTGCGTTGAACACCAGTATGTTTTTGTGGTGCAAGTCATTATGGGCCACACCCTTGGCGTGCATATAATCTATGGCTATAGAAACAAAACCAAATATAAATTAGTTATTCAATGTAAAAACATTAAGATCAAGATGTTTAAAATTTACAAACATGTAAAATACATACCTGAGCACAACTCTCCCGTAAACTGCACAGCCAACCGATCGTATAGTTTGCCCTTTTGAGCGAACCTGAACAAAGTACCATGGTCGGCGTAGTCCATGATCAGAAACACGCGCCGATAGCCCGCGTGATCGGGCGCTTCGCTGCCCGAAACGTTGCGTAGAATCGCGCGTTGGCCTAAATTAATGACCACTCTGTAGGCCATAATGTTTGGATGGCTCAGCGCTTTCATCACAGCCTTCTCTACGACGTGGCACAGGTAGTCGTACGGCTCCGTATCGGTGGCCAACTGAGCGTATTTGGCGGCAAACGGTTGTCCGGGCCGTACGTCGCGTAGATATTTGCCCTGGTCAGTTCTCTGGGTGTCCGTGATCTATTACCATAATAAAAACTTTTAATCATGTAATAAATATAATACAATATAACTACACATACCTGTGCGGTGTATACGCCCACAAACACCTGACCAGTTTCACCAATCTGGCCCGAGGGGTCAACTCTCAAGTCAAAGCCCAGGTCATACAGTTTGGCCACATCGCGCTCAGTC